AGTCTTTACAGATTCTTTTACATTTTTTCCTTGGAGTACATCTTGACCCACTTCTGTGGCTGCTTGCAATGCTCTTTTGCCAACAACTTTAGCGCCTTGTTTGAACAGAGGGATAGCATATCTCGCAAAGCTCTTGAAAATACTTCCGATCCCGTATCCTCTTTGAAAACGTGCACCATTAAACCCAGCGATGTTTCCGCCACGCTGCTGTCTCAAGAAATGGTCTGTCAGTAGTTTTTGGTCTACAACAAGTGTACCTCGCGGCATGTTGATGTGTTCGGTTCAACTTCACGCAGTCAACTAATCAAATATCACTTTGGTCGCCTATTTTATGGTTAAAAGATTGTCTTTTATCCGTTCTGATATCTATAATTTCGCCTCCACGACAACGTGGACAGCTGGCGATTACATGCGTAAAATCTCCTTTGGACACTTGAAAATCACAGATCATACAGCGACAGCTTTTACAATTTGAATAAAAATCTGTCCATGTGCATACGGGACGCAATATTTCAGAAGGTCTACAATGTCAGTTCCTCGTATATTATGTCCTCTGTAAACGATTTCTCCTTTTCCATTCCAAGTCAAAATCCCCGTAGAGGTTAAAATAGAATGAAGGATTTCTTCGGCTTCGTGTTCATCATCAACATCAAGATATTTGAGAATGTCTTCAAGTCTCCACTGTTCAGGAGATGCTCGTTTGTCGCTATCCATGATTGGAATGAGGAGATATCCTTCATGCTTATTATTTTATACTAAATCTGCAAGGCCTTCTAAAAGTTGTCCAAGTACCAATTCCAGAAAGCCACTTCCCCGCTGAACAAGAATTTCCTTTTTCGTTCTAAAACTTCTACTTCTGTTCGCTAAATCAGCTAGATCTTGTTTGAAAGGTCTGAGTTTGTCCTTTATTTCTTTAGGATATGTGAAATTTTCTATACAATGACACAAGCATCGAATTTGCTCAGCTGATGCAGAATTAAGAAGAGCTTGCTGTTGAGTTGAATGAGAAGTACATAAGAGCTCTACAAAAGGCCTGTACACATCAAAGTACGTCATCTCTCTTCAAGAGTTGGCACTTAAATGGTTCATTTACTCGAGGAACACGATTTTAAAAACGTTTTTGTGAATATAGGTTGAATCCTAGATTAAATCATTGAATCATAGAGTGAATCATTGAATCATAGAGTGAATCATTGAATCCCAGATTGAATCCTAAATTGAATCATTGAATCATAGAGTGAATCGTTGAATCCTAGATTGAATCCTAGATTGAATCATTGAATCATAGAGTGAATCATTGAATCATAGAGTGAATCATTGAACCCCAGATTGAATCCTAGATTGAATCATTGAATCATAGAGTGAATCATTGAATCATAGAGTGAATCATTGAATCCCAGATTGAATCATTGAGTGAATCATTGAATCCTAGATTAAATCATTGAATGAATCATTGAATCATGCATAGATTGAATCCTAGATTGAATCATTGAATCATTGAATGAATCATTGAATCCTAGATTGAATCCTAGATTGAATCATTGAATCATTGAATGAATCATTGAATCATAGAGTGAATCATTGAATCCCAGATTGAATCCTATATTGAATCATTGAATCATAGAGTGAATCATTGAATCATAGAGTGAATCGTTGAATCATAGAGTAAATCATTGAGTGAATCATTGAATCCCAGATTGAATCCTAGAGTGAATCATTGAATCATAGATTGAATCCTAGATTGAATCATTGAATGAATCATTGAATCATAGAGTGAATCATTGAATGAATCATTGAACCCCAGATTGAATCATAGAGTGAATCACTGAATCATATATTAAATCCTAGCTTGAATCATTGAATCATAGAGTGAATCATTGAATCCTAGATTGAATCATAGAGTGAATCATTGAATCATAGAGTGAAACATTGAATCCCAGATTGAATCCTAGATTGAATCATTGAATCATAGAGTGAATCGTTGAATCCCAGATTGAATCATTGAGTGAATCATAGATTGAATCACTGAATCCTATATTAAATCAGTGAATCCTAAGAATAATCACGAGTGGTTATAAATAGTGGACCAACTTAAAATAACTTCATTCAGCGTTTTGACACAGAGCAGTGAACATGTCTCATTCTTGCACAGTTTGTAACAAATCATTCTCAACTTCAAATAACCGTTCACGGCACCAAAATACAGCTCACGGACCTGGCACTCTATCCCAATCCAGTATTGTTGTCAATCGGTCCAGTGTTATGCTGCATCCTTTCACATGTATCGTAGCTGGGTGCACCCAAAGCGGCAAGACTGTATGGGTAAAATCTCTCTTGGAGAATGCACAGAAAACTATAAGTCCACCTCCTCAACGTATCATTTGGTGTTATGGTCAATGGCAACCCTCCTATTTTGATATAATGAGAACGATGCCTGGAATCGAGTTTAATCAAGGCATCCCCGAAGACATCGACAACGCAGATTACTTGGACCTATCGCAACGGAATTTGATCGTATTGGATGATCTCATGGCTCAATCTGGCAAAGATAAACGTATTTCTGATCTTTTTACGAAAGGAAGTCATCATCGGAATTTATCTATCATCTATATTGTTCAAAATATATTTCATCAAGGCAAAGAAATGAGAAATATCAGCCTAAACGCTCATTATATCGTGTTGTTCAAGTCACCAAGAGATAAACAACAAATTTCTATGCTTGCAAGGCAAATAAATCCCGGAAAAGTACAAGAATTTATGAAGAGTTATGAAGATGCTACGAGCCGACCTCACGGGTATTTGATGTTGGATTTAAAGCCAACAACAGATGATCAACAACGACTCAAGACCAACATACTTCCCGGTGAGATTGAAAAGTTTATACAAAAACAGTCGTATCGACAACCACCACTTGTAAATGCCATGTATGATGCCGAGCAGCGAATGAAAGAAATCATGGATGCACCACAGCTTAGCGCAGTGGAAAAAAGCAAATTATACTCTGATCAACTAAATCGGTTTCTCACATTCAAAAATAAGATGGATGTCCCAGCTCAAGCTCCTGTTCTGACAACTCCACTAGTGCCTGCAGAGATACCATCACAAGCGCCTCCTACGCATGTAATAGCGGAAATACCAACACCAGTGCCTGCGACTCCTAAACCTAATTTCCTTACACCACCACCAACAGAAGAGGAACGGCCAAAACTCAAGCACAACTTTTTCCACAATTGGGTAGACTCTACAGATTGGAGGCCCCAAGATTTGGCAATGATGACCCCTGAACAAAGAGAAGGTTACGAACAAAGATTACTTCGCGAGAGGCCGAAATATATTCCAATGAAGGATGAAGACGTTGCAAAGTTATCCCCAGAAGATAGACAAGAATATGAGAACTCTTTAAAAATAACAAAAACACCTAGACGTTACGCTCTTAGAAGTAGACCGTACTAAATTTTGTAAAACGTTTTGAAGAAATAAATGTATTTAAAAACTGAAATATTGTGTAATTTTTGCCGGCAAAGCCCGCTCTTTCCGCCCGCGCGATCCGCCCGCCTGATTAGTGTACAAATATGTTGTACGTTAATATATGCATCCACCCGCAAAGCCACGCGCCTGATTTTAAGGTATACACCTGCGTTAAAAATAATCCCTATCTATCCATCGGGATACACTTAGTTATGCAAATTCGTAGTTTTAGTACTTTAAAAAACTACCAATAAAATATAGAAATCGCTTGACAATTATATATCATGTGTTTATATAACCCTAGACAGCAACATATTCTCTCGTATATAGACCTCATATGGCAGACCGGGATTTAAATATTAGTTTATTTGTAGATACATAATAACTCTTACCGCATGCTATTTCTTAGCCTGCTCGCAGGCCGTTGTCAGGCAGAGGCTGCATTGGAGGTACGGCCTGCGACCTTTATTAGTAAAAAGTCGATTTATGCGTACGGAGCGTACGCAAAATTCCCATTGGTCAGAAGTGCCCCATGAGTTAATATCGTGCAAATATTTAACTCGTACGACATTTCGCAATGTAATTTTAAAGCTGGCATTCAATCAGTGGCGTGTAAAACCATGACTTTGTTTATCTCTTCGAAGAAGTAACTGAATGTATTTGAAACTTTCAATTTAAATTAACGTTGAAGGATGAGCGAAGGTTAGCAATATTAACTGTACTTCCAACGGGATTTGATAAAAGTTTACATGTAATATACCGATACTTTGTCTTCGTCAGCTATAATAATAAACCTTTTTCAAAGAAGTACAAGGGAAAACTTCGACGTATGCCTTGCTGATCTTTGCAGAGAGAGTAAAATAAGTCTAGTTCAGGCTGACAATTTATCTAACCGCGTTTGCATCACTTGCGGTTTCAAACGTTGAACAACTTAAGGTTAGCCCAGCGAGACGTTCGTTGAGACACAGGCAGTGAATCAGCTAGTATAAAGCAGTTGATTGTCAAATGCCTCCGAACATTTCTCCCAAATACTTCCCTGTCAACCCAAGGCTTTCTGCCTAAACAATCTGGTCTTGAATAAGTCAAGACAATGGGCAAATTATTAAAACAGACGCCGTCGAGGAAGGTCGTTCTTAGAACACCTGGCCAATTTGAATTTACACCTGGAAATTTTGCAATAGTCGTTTGCGTGTTTTTTGACCGAAGTCCGCTCTCTCTTTGAGACTTTATTTTTGGGAGTCTCAACTAGTGACATATTTTATTACAAAAAGAGCTTTTTACAAAAAAATGTAGTTATTAAACACGGCAGAATCTATGCCACGGCCACGGGTTTTCAAATTGTCTATTGTCTATTGAGTTAATTGTATTATTGAGCAAATGACAGACTTCACGCAATAATGATTAATGTTGTTTTTTTAGCCTGCTATTGTTCGACACTTTTAATAAATAGTGTTTGTTACTTTGTTCAAAACCTAAATACGTTTCCTTAAATCTTACAGTTATATTTTGGATATAAATATATAAAATACATTAACTGATAGAGAGTAAAATTTTACGTCTCTGTAGTATAGTTACATAATTTAAAACGGCAATGCACGAACAAGACAACAATATACAAACGGGACTATGTTTTAAATATTAGAACACTTTAGGGAAAAAACGACCATGAATTATTTTAGATTAAAGTTTAGACCTTGAATCCTAGTGAAAGATACAGGCGTAAAATTGCGCGAGAAACTGTTTGTTGTTGTTAATAACCTCTGGTAATCTAATTAACAAAACTTGCTTTGATTGGCTACTATTTACCGGATATTCAATTATCTCAAAGGGGGCGTATTGAAAAAATATCAATAAAAGTCGCAGGCAACCTCGTCCCCAGGGTCTTCCTCGTGGTGGCGCGTGAGCTGAGGAAGACCCTGGTAAAATACGATGAAATCTCCAAGATTCTTGGAGATTTATCGCATGCGCAGTAACGACAACGTTATGTTGCTGACTACAATTAGCGCTGGCGCTTACGATTTTCTTGCTTTAAAAATACACATGTTTTGTTGATTCTTTATGTATTTATTCTCAAAGTTTTAACAAATTTTAAGAAAAATAATTCAGATATAAGCTGTGAACACACATGTACACAAAACTGTGCAACATTCGTCATCATATTGTATCAATTTGTCGGAGTATGGCGCTCATATTTGTGACATTGTTTTGTTCGCTTTGGCAACCCTCGTATATATCAGATGCTGTTCGGCCTCAAATGCGACTGAATGAATACTGACGGTGTTGCCTGGAATATGAAATGATATTGACTGATTGTTCTGTATATCAAGGTAGGTACTGTACATTTATACTGAATTTATTTTCACACGAGTTTCAAACTATTTCAGCCTTATAATGAACAGTGAGATCACATCACTAACATACAGCCATACAGAAAGACAGAAAGAATTTTCTCATCAATTCTGATTATCGTTACAAGTAACAGTATAAATGCTTCAAAATTTATTTGTTTTCTACAGTATGTAATGCAGGGCAGCATGCTTTCATTTTGCTTTGGTGGTAGTCACCACTCACCAAGTCAAATGGGCTATTCCATCTATAAATAGCCCCACTATTGAGGTCTGGATATCCTATATGGGGATTTTAGAGAGGGGGATTTTACCTTAAATTTTTCTGGAGGGTAGCTTAAGAGATTTCCAAAAAATTAGGTGTTTTAGTGATATCCAAAGGGGCAGGAACAATATCCTAAAGGGGTAGAAAGATATCCATGGGGGTTCCAAAATTGCATCCAATGGGGTTCCAAAATGTTTAAGGTAATAGTATTATGAAGAGACCCCTCAATAGGGTGTGGGGGCTATATTAAATGGAAT